GGACATGACACCTCCAAACAAGCTAATGAGCTTAGACAATGAACGACCTCCTAAGATTTGAATCCTCACAAGCGAGCTGAATTATCAATGTGCATGCAAACAATGTCACTAAATTTTGTAAGGGTTCCCGGTAAAGTTCTAGAAACTGAAGGACATCACAAGGCTTAAAATTCTGAGAGTTTGCCCACCAGCATCCGAATGATGCCAGCGACTCTATAGACTTTGCTCCTAACCTCCCCTTAAAGAAAGAGACTCACCACAGCAAACAGTGCCGGGTAAACTACAAAGCCCATGGCCAAATGAGATGAGCCACCAGACGAGGGAAGTCTCGCAGGTCACAGTTTTGCAACACATTGAGAAACAGAGCAATTAGATATTGATCTAAATTTCAGCTCAGTTCCTCTCAAAATCAAAATCGAAGACCCTTCATAATTTGAACAGCTATGATATAATCCAGTAAACCCCCTTGTCGACTGCAACAACTGGTTTTCAATCACAAATTTTCCAAACGAAAGTCGCGAATTTCCAAACCCTATAAAAACAAAATTCATCGACATTGTCCACCACCTGGGCAATCAAACTCGCAGTTGCGATGGCTGATGAAAACAACCAGAACACCGCAAGCTGCAACAAATTTTCCCGCAAAAAAATCGAGTCCTAAGATCCGAAAGCTTTTTGACTCTTGCCCCCTAAACTTCGATGCCGAAAACACCCCGCACATCAGAAATCCGCAAATCCCGAGACAAAAGTAGGGATGGTGACCTAATTTCAGCTCCGAATCAAGTCCAAATTGCTTCCCAAATTGTCAATCTCTAGGAATACATGTGTATTGTTTTTTGGATATTTTGTAGATTTATGTCTGTAAAAGGATAATAATCTAAAGACTTTGAAAAAATATTAGTATATAGTAATGAGTACAACAATTAAATGAAAATGAACACAACTAAACATAACAATACAAAAATAAAAAAAGAAGTTGGGAAAAAAAGAACTAAAAAAATATCATTTAGTACTATAAGTATGATAGAAATAAAATTGCAAAGTAAAAGAAGACAACATCAATGAGTTGATTAGAAGTAGAAAATAGTATATATCTATAAAACTTAGTAAATTTTACATTATAATTAAGTGATTTTAATATGTATCAAAATATCTTGTGCATAAATATTTTATGTTGATGCAATAAACAAGAAACTGAAAATGTTTATAATTTTTTACTATAAGTATATTTTAAAAAAAATACAACAATTAAAGAAATTTAAATTGGCTTAAAATAATATGAGAGGTTTTTGAAATATTTTATTAATAATTTTAATTATAATTTTTTTTGTTACAATAATAAGAATGTTAAAAATAATCTTTATAAAATACGTTTTTAAAAAGGAACATAGTTCATATTTACATTACTGTAACTCAATACAGCATATTTAAAATATTAGAAGAAAGGGTTGCATAACCAATAATAAAAATGATAGGAGTCTGGTATTTTTTTATTATTATTTTATTAATAATATGTATGAGAAGTACAAAGGATAGTTCTAATTGGAGATTGGCATTTGACTTGTAAGATAAATTGCTACTCAATTTGCTACAACTAATTGTGCACAATCCTACTAGACTCATAATTTCCATTTGTTGGTTAACTTATTTACTTAAAATGTATAAATTTATAAATTATGACTTTTTTGTATTTTAAAAGTTACTTTTGGTTGATCTTTTTTTTTGTATTGATAAGTATTGAGAAGTTTGGTGTTAGATCTTTGAATATAATATTCACAATTTGAATTTTCTTTAAATCAAAAATAGTTTTAATAGAGACTTATTCTTGTTTTTGTTTTGCAATTTTAGATTTTAGTTGTTGTAATATACTAAAGGGCAATCTTTTGGACAATCGGTGATCTTGCATTATGTTGTGGAATGATCTCGTAGGCAAGGGGTGATCTTTCAATGGACTCATGGACTTGCATTGTGGAATAGTCTGATATGATATGAAATAACTAGACTTGTGAATTTTGATTAAAAGTTGTTTGCATTTATGATAATCATAGAGCTTTAGTATTGCAATAGGAAGATTTTATTTTTTATTTTTTATATAGTGTCATTAATTTTTGTATTATCAATTTTTTTTTAAAAGATTTTTTGATTTTATGAGAATTTTTTGAGGTGTTGTAGTTTCTTTGAAGTAAGTTTATGTGGTCCAATGCAAGGTGATGTATTCTACTATGGGATGATCTTATAATTGCAATAGATTGCATATTCTTTGCAATAATAATTTATGAGTTTAATAATTTTATGTCATAGATGGAATTAATTTGCAAACACACTTTTTAACAACCTAATTTACACATGTAGCTTAAATAGAGTGTAATCAACTACCACTCCTATCAACAATGTATATTACAAAGAATCTCACCAATGTTTAAGTTGTTGCATACATATCTTGATTGAATCAATGTATTAAATAGTCATTTTAAGCATTATTATCTTTTGATTAAATTTTTATTAATAGAATAATAATCTCTATTTTTATGATTATTATTATTATTATTTCTTAAAATATGTGTGAAGCTTTAAAACCTCTAGAATTGAGATATTTTTTTCCTTCTTATATTATCTAAATTAGTTATATTATGGTAGTATTGTAATTTATAATTTTACATTTTATAGCTTGATAGCTAAAACAATCAAATATATAAATTTGTAATTATGAAAAATTATGTGAAAAAATTATAATGCAACTCCTATAAAATTTTGAAGAAATATATTAAGTCACCTAAAGTAAGAAAGTTCCTACATCTATTTAGAACACTATGTAGTTTTATTTATTTAATAAAAAAAAGTGATTAGTATTAAAAGAAAATTTTCTTGTGATACCAAAATTTTAATTTTTTTTTATGTTTTATTTTCACCTCAGGTACTTATAATAATTCATTAGTTATTTATTTATTTTTTAGTGCTTCTTTTCTATTATCTTTGATGTAAATGTTAGTATCTATTAATATTTTTACATTTATTCTCATGCATCTTAAATATCATATAAATACTTGTTTATTCAGTTATATATATATATATATATATATATGTGAGAATGTTAAATAAACCCATGCTTTCACTAAATTGACCCACCCTTGATGAAGAATACAATAATCATGATAAATGTGGTTGGTTCTCATTGGTTGCAAATCCAATAAAAGTGAAATGAATCTAGAGGTCATTATCTATTTTTTCTGCCTGATCGATAGGATGTATGGGTTGATTTAATAAAAAAATAGGGGTCTATTTAACATTCCTTTACATATACATACATATATATATATATATATAAGAGAATGTAAGATCATCTTTCAAAATGATGTTAGAATCTTTCCAAAATCTGTTGGTTCCTTGAATCCCTCTTCCAAGATGTAAATGGATGAATGTTAGGATGCGGTGGGGGATAGATGAATGGATGGCAGCCTTGACAACTTCTGGATTGATCGGGATAAAACGGGAAGCAGAAGCAGAAGCAGCACTGCAGCAAACAAACAAAGTATGCACCCACAAAGGAGCTGCAATTGGTGGTGATGTCACAAGACAGCAACTGCGCACGTCATGGGGTGATGTCATCACCCACCCTGCCCTGATGTCAGCTGAGCCCTACGCCCCATCCCATCACTCCTGCCACAACACACAGTGCTGTTGTACAATCCCATCACTGTGAGCTCTTCATGCTCTATTTCTGTATTTTGCTCTCAGATATAATACATTGTGATGAAGTTGTTTGAAATAGATTGTGCCAAATCCTTCTCATTCTGTGTACTCTGTTGGTAGATTTGACTTAATTAATTAATTTTTGAGAAATTTTGTTCCTCAAATGCACCACTAACTGGACTGATCATTTCACTTTCAATTAAACAATGTTAATTTACTCTACAACATTTGCTTCTTGGTTTTATTTATAAGATATAAAATATTTTTTAACCACTAGTCTTCTTGTCTCTCACCTATCCACTCTTGAAAAAATAAATTAAAAACTCTTGATGGTATCAAAATAGCCAATGGAGAGTATTAAAATATTTATGCTCTAAACTTTTCTTGTGTTTTATGTCAATTAAGATTCACTGAAACTAAACAATTGGATATTACCATTGTATTTAAAGCATTTTTCAGTTGTACAAAAGAGCACTGATCTACCATGCCTTTAAATAATATTTCTTTCATTTTTAGTTATGTTCAGTAATATTGCTATTATTTTTTATTAATTTTTTCACATCAAAATGTATTTAAAATACCTTCTTTCATGCAATTGGAAAAGATACAAAGAAAAAGATTTCATTACTTAACTAATTGGTGGGAAATTCTAGAGTGGACATTAGTGATCCATACATTTACTAAATTGAGCCACCCATCATCACTGGTGACCATTCAACCATTTTTTCATTGGTTTTTGACTAATGCGGATCCAACAGAGGAGAATTTCTTGACAATGGTTAGGATGGGTGGGTTGATTTAGAAAATGCTTGGGTCAATTAAACAATTCCCTTTAAATATTCATGTACTTAATTTGACACATATCATCCTTGAATCACACCACAATACGAAGAGAGATAGGGAGAGAGAGAGGGGGAGTGCTATGTTAGTAATTGTAGGGGAAGCTCACTTTGCTTTCAGCTGGTTCCAGCTTTTGCAAAACTTCCAGAAAGGTGTACAGGGAGAGTTGTGTTGTGATGTAAGCGGTACGACTGGGCTGAGGTCTGGAAATAATTGGAACCCACCATGTTAGAGTGCACTCATTGTTGAGTGAATGAGACATTGGGGAGAAGGAAAATTCTTAAGGAGCAAAACGGTAAAGCTGCCATGGTAGGTGGGGGCCCATTCAGCAAGTCTGCAACTATGACCTCACAACAACCTTTTCATCCTCAATCTTGTTCCAAATGCATAGGTTTGGGTCCCTCACACATGTGGCCTCTCTTTCTTTGCGTTCTTATCCCAAATACAGACTCCAAAGCTATTCCACAGTTACATTCCTCACATTCCTACAAAAAGAATTGGAGAGCTGATTGTGTTCCTGAACCTTCACATCCAATTTCAAGTAACCAGATACTTGTTACGCAAGAATACGAGTGCAGTGGTAACTTTCTATCTGTCTGTATGAGCTCAAGGACATTCCAAGGGGACAATATGTCAGTTGAGGGTAGGTGGTTTCGAAGGCTCTGAAAGGGATAAGTTGCTCGCTGTGCACAAGTTTTGTAAACAGCCATCCCCGGAGAAAGTCTAGAGCTTATTGTCCTGCGTCCTGTATATGATAGGTTGGTCCTGTGGACAATTGTCATTCTTTCCACATTCAGGTGAAGAACCTAATATCATCTCGAGTTTGTTACACTCTACAGTGTGGGCAGTTGTTGTTTTACATTCTGAACTTTGGTTCCAGCAGTAGTCACCATGAAGATCGAGCATACGAACGGGAACGTAGTTAAAACTCTGCACGCAGTAATCGTTCCATTTCCTGCTCAAGGTCATATAACGCCATGCTTGCAGCTTGCGAAGAAACTAGTCCGACTTGGGTTTCACATCACATTCGTCAACACCGTTCACACCCACGACCGATTGATGAAATCGTCTTTCAAAGATCGCGAGCCAGAGTGAGTCTTTGTGACGCTATTACCTTGAAAAATGTGATCTTACTACCGTGTTCAATGTGGCCAGTCTCCTGCCGGAAGAGCTCATCACTGTGAAGGCGTTCATCCACTCATGCCTGGCGATCTTATCAGTTGAATGCAACCAATAACCACACTGATTCCATGGAATTGGTACCCTCGAACTGCACTGCAAAGAATCATAGATGTATTAGTTCAAGAGAGTGGTGGTGGGTGATGAAGTTGATATTGATGAACCGGGACTCGGCATTCCAATGAGCTGTCATATCTCACCAGATGTAATCAAAATACTGCAGACGACGAAATATGGAGGGGTTCACCGATCCGCAGTAGTGGTATACAATAGGCCTGTTAATTTTCTACTTGAACTCAAGTGAAGGCAATAAACACACAGCCATGAAAGATCTCTAACTTGATCTCCATCTGTATATTATGTGCAGTGAAGATATTGAGTTTGTCGCGGTATCAGACGGGCTCCCGGACGATCACCCTCGATTGGCTGATATTGTTGCTTTCAGTGTCGCATTTTCAGAAAGGGGACCTGTATTTGCAGAGCTGTTAGTCAAATTGCTTCGCAAGTCTCCAATCACATGCGTAATACGTGATATTTCATCGGGGGTCGTCCAGGAACCAGCCAGAAAATTGGGCATTCCAGTGGTGGGTTTCGGAACACCATCTGCCATTTCCATCCAATGTAGAACCCACATAGAGACATTCATAGAAGCAGGGGTTTTACCGCTCCCACCTCCTCCGATGAATACTTCAACTCCATCCCTCGATCCAGTCAAGTTAATACTTGGACTGCCTCGAAGTGATGAGGAGGCTGCAGCTCGGGATGCTCCACTCATATGCCTCCCTGGTGCATCTCCAACTATGAGGGTCAATGACATTCCAACGTACCTACTAACTCACGACCTCGACAGCCACTTCGTTCGCTTAAATCGAGCCTGTCAAAGACCACTTCTTCAAAGCTGTGAGTGCCTTCTCTTCAACACGTTCCATGACTTGGAGGGTGAGGTTCTGGACGCCATGACTGACATTAATGCCAACATTTATTCCGTGGGTCCTCTCATTTTCAACTCCAAAAAAAGCCAAGTTGACGGGGTCGAAGAGTTGTCGTTAGCAGCTACGGAAAGCGCCTTGTGGAAAGAGGATCCTATATCTCTGTCCTGGCTTGACAACCAGAAGCAGAACTCAGTTCTTTTCGTTTCGTTTGGGAGCATAGCAACCATGTCCATTGAGCAGATGCTGGAATTCGCTTTGGGTCTCGAGATTAGCGGGCACGCCTTCTTGTGGGTAATCAGATCAGACTCAATCGAGGATACACACGAAAACGAAGAATTTCAAATCACGTTCTCAGATTTTAAGAAAAGAACACAAGACCGTGCTCTTTTCGTACCCTGGGTGCAGCAAATCGCAGTTCTCTCACATCCTTCCGTAGCAGCTTTCCTTACTCACTGCGGTTGGAACTCCGTCATAGAAAGTATCTCAAGTGGTGTTCCGATGCTTTGTTGGCCAAGATTCGCTGATCAGAATACGAATTGCCACTACGTTAAGTGTGTATGGGAAATTGGCCTTGATTTCGAGAGCCAGGTAAAGGGCGATACTACAATTGTATCCAAGGAGGAACTGGACAAAAAGGTGAGAAGAATCATGGCTAAAGACGGAGCGGATTTGGAGATCGATAAAATTCGAACCAATGCTAGAAACCTTCGCATTGCAGCAAGGAAAGCAGTTAGCGAAGGAGGTTCCGCACACACTGCATTCATGAAATTCGTGCAACAGATACAGCAGACTTCCAAACTTCAGCTTCCTTCATAGATCTCAATGCATTCGCCGTGGCTCTTTTTCAAGGACGAGTACTCACTCTCACGGACCAAACTCAGATTGTCCGGACTTCGGAAGTTTCCTTTTTTGCCACGTTGATAGAATTGCAGTGCTTGTTTGTTTGCTAAAAACTTATCTAGAACAGAAATGTTAAGCTGTGAGTAATAAATAAAATTCATTATATTCAAAATGAATATGCCTGAACTATCTATCAATACATGTGGCAGTTGTTGTTGATTGGTTGGGGTAGAATAATATTATATAATTAGTTGCCACACTTCTTGTTTTTGTAAAAGTTGGATTTTTAGTTCTGTAACCCACAACTAGTTAGAATAGGTTGGCCTACATGTCAAAAATGGGTCAAAGAGAATCTTCAATTAAAATGTTTGTATAAATTTTGTTTTTGGGCCAAATTATGAAAACACTTCAAATCTTCCTCATTTTTATTTTCTGACATGGAGGTATTTTTTTTTATTATTATTAAACTTACTTCAAATATGCTAAAATTATTAAAAATGGCTCATATACTTTAAAAGGCTTGAAAGTTCAAATCCTTGCTGTGAAATTTGTTAATGTGGAGATAATCACTCTTTGATGTTTTAAAAAAAAGTAAGACAAAAACAAAAACAAAACAAACAAACAAACAAACAATGTAAGTACAATAGAAGTTGTAGATGACTTCTAAATGACTAAAGTTGTAGATGATATAGAAGACATCTAAAACTTTCACCAAATAATATTTTTCTCAAAAAATATTACTTCTAAATTATTTACAAAATCATAGATAATTGACAAGACTTGTATTTCTTCCATGGAAGATGTTTCAGATTTATGAAGACATTCTTTCAAATTGGTGAGTAAAATCAATGTTTTTAATGCTGATAATATATCCTTATAGACACAAAGACAACCTATGAATTTCAAAATGATATCTTTTGTATTTGGTCTAGTAGGCAAATCTAAAACTAGTTGCTCATCCATGAGTAAAGGTTTCATATATATTTTTCTAGATATGTTGTTCATGAAGATAAAATAAATAAATAAATCATGTTCAAGGTCATGGAAATGTTGTTGCAAATACACACATCAAGTGAGACATTATATAAAATAAAGTCCTTAAGATAGAGGGTTTACTAGCATAAAAACTAATTGGGAAGGATGTATATAAAAGTAAATAAATTTCATATATATATATATATATATATATATATATGTGGGAATGATAAAGTAATCCAAATTTTTACTAAAAAGACCCACTCTTTTTCAAGAATCATTGCATCCTTGGAGCCCCCATTCCTATTCAAAGTCATTGGAGAATGGCTGGGACTAGGGAACAGTTGGGAATAGGGCATGTGGGTTGATTTAGTAAAACTTTGGGTTGCTTTATCATTTTCCTATATATATATATATATATATCTATACATATATTTTCACATAAAATTTAAATGGAGAAAAATAAAAGAGTGGAGGATTGTAAATAATATCCCTACAGTCTTGCATTGGAAAAACAATCCTCAAACTTGTTCCTTTTGATGAATGTAGCTTTATGGATGATCATTCAAGAATGAAATTTAGAAAACAAGCATGGAAAAAATTCCTCTATGAATATAATTTTTAATTTTTTAGAAGGAAGGGATTCATAGAGTCTTAGAGAAATATTTTAAAGACTCTATGAATCTCTATAATATTCTTATTATTATAAATTTTGTAAGCTTTTATGATTAAATTCAAAACAAAACAAAACAAAACAAAACTCCTTCTAAAAATTTAGATCTTAATTATAATAAATTATTATTATTATTATTATTAATGGAAAAAATAAAATAAAAAAATTCTAGTCTAAATTGGAGTAAAGAAAATAAAAGTTATATAAAGATATTTTAGTAATAATTAAATAAAGATTGTAATAAAGCTAGATTTATGAGCAAATATTTGTATATAATGTGATTTTTATTTTTATTTTTTTCCATTCAAAAAAAATGTGGAATATTAATTGAAAGCTTTATAACATGCTTGTGAAATTTTGTTACTTCATACATTATAATCAACTATAGTTAATTATGTAAAACTTATGATATAAACCAGTTTTTTTTCTACTTTGACTTTGTAAATTTTTTTAGAATGCTAATTGGTCAATTTACACAAAATATAGCTTAATATAATATAATGATATATAATTTTGAAAAACAACACTTGTTTTATAATCCAAATTAGTAATCTACTTTTAGCTCTAAAATGCAACTCTATATCTACCGAAAATGATATTTTCCAAATTACTATACATTAAGTTAAATAAATTATTTGCCAAATGAAGTCTTGTATTTTTTTAATCTTACTTATTATTTTAAAAGCATTAACTTTACTAGTGGTTCTAAAAATTGAGATTGATAAAAATCCCATATTTATTCTCAAAGTGAATAATATCAATAAAGCCCTAATCTATTGACAAAGAGATTAGTTTCAATCAAAATATTGCATATAGATTTACAAGGTAGCTTAGAAGGTTTTAAATATTGCATATAGATTTACTTGGAGGTAGCTTAGAAGGTTTTAAAAGGCCTCAATAATATTTGTTTTAATAGTTTTCTCTAAATCCATCACTTGAGTGTAGATTGCACAGGTTGATGATTTGATTAATTTATTTCAAGTAAAAATCATTGATTCTAGTTCTATAAAGGAGACTGGACTTAATAATGCTACATGTGTCTTTTAAGTTTTAGTTGTTTTGTATTTTTAAAGAAATATATATTTATATATATATATATATATATATATATGTATTTATATATACATATATTAAGATTTTAATATTTAATTTTAGATTATTTATTACATATTTATTTCTAATATTATATATATTATTAAAAAATTAATAGTTAATTACTATTGGGTATTTAAATTTGATTTAGTTAAGATTTTTGTAATATAAAAATATTTTACTGCAATTTAATTAGTCTATAAGAAATGATACCAAAGATATAGCATTATAGTAACATATTTAAAAAATATTAACTTAAAAACTTTTGCATAATTTTATTTGTAAAATTTTTAATCAAAAACATTTAAACGTAATTTTCATTGTAAAAGTTATAGTATCATGTTTTAATCTAGACATTGATTTTATTAGCACGTAGATTAAATCATTGTTCGATTTAATGTGGCCGAAGTTTACAGCCCAGATTATGTTTTGTACTAGTTGATATTGAGAAACTACAACAGTTTCTTGAATAAGCAGTACAATAATAATATACAATTCATTTATCTTGCATTGCAAAAGCTATTTTGCTCTGACAAATTTAACAATTAAAACTATTGTAACATCGAAAGAAGTTGTGGAATGTATCTTCTTAGGCATGTGCCATTTGGTTACTAGTGTTACACAAGCCTTTCATTTCTTGAAAAAAATCAAAAACATTATAAAAAGTAGAATATTTCCAAAGTGGCATTAGTGATTTGTGGTGCCTTGGTTGAATCGTTCGCAAAAGAGGGGCAGTTTGTGCTTGAACTGCTCCAAAACATTAGAAGTAGGAAGTGGAAATAACATTACATACATCACCAAAGAAGGTGGTGAACGAGAACAAATCAAGAGAGCCTGAATTGTTCCAGGAGGATTTTTTTAAAAAATAAAATAAAAAAAATCATTCCTATAATAAACATCACCACCCGACGTGCTCCACTTGATTGGCTAGAATTAAACCGAAGCTTGAATTGCTGTTAAGAAAAACAAGAACATCAAAGAGACTAAGTGCAATCGCACATGCACCACATGCACAAAATGACCCAATTCAAGTGGATCGTCGTGTGGTAGAGGATACCAGATTAGAAAATACAGCATCGTGATAGATTACGAATCACTGCTCTGCACAAGCAGCAACCGCTCAACAGCTGGTTAGCATGCCAGAAATCTAGTGTACAACTTCAATTACAAATGTTTCACTATCATCTGCTGGAAGGGACAGTAAAGGACAACAGGTGAGATCCACGACTACTGGGGAAGAGTTGAGCGAAGGAAAACTCGAAGCACATCGATCAGTGAGCTTTGACGTAATGTCAAACGAAGAGCACAATTGCATAAAAAACCTACACTACCTCAAAATTGGGCCTGAATTAGGAATATATCTTTACAGAACAGGATATATGACCGAAAGCTAATATATATACCGATATATAGTTGTACATTTTTAGTTCGCATGAGGTAAAGGTGCAGCAACTCAAAGGAAGTAAGCCTGGATGGCAGTGAAAATGCAGTGCCAGTATGCACTGGAGGATTAGAAGCTTCCACCACTAGGTAATCCTTCCGCAATGTCCCCAACGAAAAGAAAAGTAATGAGAAAAAGCTATTTTGAAGAAGGCCCTGAAGGTAGTGAAGGTGCCAAAGGCAAAGCCTTCGCACTGAGGTTTTTCAATGGCTTCCGTAACTTAAGGGATGAAGGTCTCTGTATAAAGCACCATTTTCAGTTGCAAATCTTCTGCGTCTAGAAGTACATACTTCTGTTCAATGACGTAGTCCGGCATGTCGGGTGCGAGAATTGTTCAGCCTCTCGAAACAACTGGCTCCACCTATCAACAAACGTTCTAATATTTGCCATGCCTTGCAAAACGCCACCATCAATATAACCGTAATGTACCCAGTTTCAGTTCCAACAAGCCTAGTTGCAGACGTTCATGTATTTCCTTCCGGCTGTTAATGAACTGGATTAACATGGGTCTCTAAGTAGGAGACTCATGTCCTAGGTGTCCAGAATTCCCGGTTGCACAGGAATGCCCCCAACTTCCAAAACTTGTCAGTAGTGATTCAACAATCTTAGACCTTTCTGAACTAGAATGGGTTCTTGCTAACATCTGGTATATCTGCTCACATCTGGGGCAATAGGGAGCTAGATGAGGCTGTAGAAAGGGGTGCTCGAGAAGTTCTGGAATTCGTAGCCGCTTTCTACGATCCCAAGTTAGGCACCTTTTCATGATATCCAGTAACCAGGGATTCGGTACATCAGGATAATGAATTTTGTGATGCGGATTTGTAATAGCTTGAATTTTGGAGTAAAATCCAAGCTCAGCAAACGGAGTGTGCCCGTAAACCATCTGATAGAGGATGCAACCCAAAGACCAGATATCTGACGCTCGGCCTTGCTTGATTTCCAGACCTTCCTCATCTGTTTGATTCTGTAGACAGGCTTCTGGAGCCATGTAATTCAATGTGCCTCCCTGGAAAAGAAAGAAAATGAGAAGTGAAAACAAAGTAAAAAAATTTAAAAAAAATGAAAACCAAGGTTTAGAGGACAAATAATTAAGGTCATAAGACACATCTTGAGTTCAAGTTGATGGATGTAGGAGTATAATCTAAGTACAAGGTGCATGAGTGGGAATATTAAAAATACTAACTTATAGACGTCAATGATGAACGTGAACTGTAGCATACCAGAGAATCTCGCACAATGTTAGTGGTATCATTTTGAATAGCTTTTGCTATTCCAAAATCGATGAGCTTTAGTTCTCCCCTGACTAGCATAAAGTTTGCTGGTTTCAAATCAGAGTGCACAATACGCTCATCATGGATAGTCCTAACAGCTTCCAGTATTTGCTGCCATCCAAGTGAAGAAATGAATATCAGAATCGTGTTTGACTAATGATAGATCAAGGATATTGGAACAGAATCTTATGATGCACGCATGGTAAGTAAGAGATACGATTGAATAATCATTTCTGCTCTAGTAGACCCGTTTTTTCAGAAGTATGTATAAATAACTAAGGAAGATCGATTGGAATTTATAAAGCACAAAAAAGGTGGTACTGAAATGCACGGCGACATTCTGACCCTTTTCAGAAGTGCGGGCAACTGACGTTATAAAGCGACGGGAGAGAGGAATACCTGCCAGTAGAATCGAAGCCAATTCTCGTCAATTTTCGTTTCGTGACTACTTTGCATTTCCTTACGCTTTGCAACAAGCATGCCAGCCAAATCAATCTCTCCATACTCCAGCACCATGTAAATAAAAGCCTCTTCCGAAATTTCTTGACCTTCCCATCTTTTCTCCAAAACTTTCTGGTTGGTGACCTGGATCAGGCAACTCCCTTCTAAGTCAGCTGAACATCGTATACTAGTAACGGCGGACGAGATTCCTGGTGATAAATCTACACTAACATGGTAAAAAGTAGGGCTTTATGAGATGATCAAAACAATCATCAAATAACTTCAACTGAGATCACAAAGTTACCTCAGAATCAACAAGCTGGATAATATGACGTTTGCCACGCAACGCCTTAAGGTACTTAATTTCTTGATAAAACTCTTGTGCAGTTGACCAATCCCGACCTTTCAAATTGATACGTTTTAGAGCGTAAATAGAGCAGTTAGACGCAATAACCTTAAAGACCTCACTGCTGCCTCCTTTTCCAATCTGTCCTAACTTCTGATACCGTATTCCATTGACGTAAACAAAGTGATCATTCTCAATTTCCGTGCGTGATTTTCGAGGTGGCGGTTGAGTGGTAGAGGGATCCTTGTGATTCTTTTCTCCCCTTTCCTTAGGTGGGTCACTAGCTTTCGCAGGATTACCTTCATGACCTCCATGAACCGGATATTCTGAAACGGCTACTGCCGATCTAGCTGTAGGCTTCAACGATCCATTACCGTCAGCCATCTCAATTCCACAATCTCCCTCTTTTGCAGTTTGCTGACTGTGAGGCCTTTGTTGCGCCTCGACACCATGCGAAGAAGTCGTAGCAGTCTTATAAGGAATCCCAACACTTTGAGATGTCAAACCAGTTAACCCAGTCGCTCCTGTTACTCCACTAGAAGACCTACATTCTGTGGCAACGAAATTCATGTGGTGCCCAGAAATTTGCGTTACAGTTCTTGCCTCCATTGAAGACTTCGTAACCAAATTAGACCGCGGACTTCTGTCTTCTATGCTGACGGAGCTGAAAGTGCTAGAGAGATGATTAGCATCACTGTTATCTGTAATGGCAGGTTTCACATTAAGATTTGAGTGAAAAGAGAACCCATTGTTCGGTTCCCTTTTCTCTGCTTCATTCATCTGCTTGAGAACATCACAATGATGCTTGAGACCTTCCGATGAAGGTGAATCATTCGCTTCAGCTTTGCGCTCTCGAGATTCAAAATTCTGTTCGACACAACCATGACCGACCAGTAAGAAAAGACACACCGAAAAAAACAGCCACGGAGTTTTCAAAAATAACCGCAACAAATAAGGACGTTACCATAATTCTGAAGCCCTTACAGAACTGCAACTTTCACACCGGCTTACACAGATTTGAAGCATAAGAGGATAATAACAAGCAAAGAACGAGAAAGTAGCTGACTCTACGAAGTAATGCCTCGTGCTTGTTTAAGGAATCCACTCAAGATAAATCCTTCGACCTAAAAGTAAGTCAAGAGGCTCTTACTGGGGGAACATAGCGAGGTGGTATTCCTCCAGTCAATTTCGCAGACTTCGTACAATCCAGCACGGTCGGTGATGGAAGAACCAATGATCGTGTATCTCTGGATGTTTTCCACGCCCAAGGCTCCCTCTCATATCGCGGAGTACCTTTGGTGCAGGAGCCTGTGAGAGGATGACCGGCGACATCTTCAGCCCATCTTTCGCCACTTTGCTCCAAGGAAGTCAAGTCTGTCCTTATTTCTTTATTGATAATTTGCTGATGTCTTTCCCGCTCCCTTTGAGTTAGACTACCCCCTTTATGAACTCCCTCATTATCTTCTATGGAAACTGGTCTAACACTGCCTACTCCCGAAAGAAGAAGAGACGAATCTGTGATAGAAGGATCAGCTTCAGCTTTCCGCTTTCTTGCGTAGTCTTCATCCGCCGGCATTAGAGTATCTTGTTTCATTCTCTGATTGCTGCTGTTAAACGCCTCCAGTGCTGCAGGTGCGACTGGTGGGTCGTTTCCATGATTGTCATTCGTCTTTAATAAATGCAGTTTCTCCGCACTCTTCTGTTCATCGTCAGATGATTTCTCAGAACTAGGACTGTGATCAACCTTGGGTCCTTGAGTTCTTGGATACGCCCGAGGGTCATCTCTCCGAACTCTCAGTGCTGGACCTGCTCATTATGCACAAGACAATTGAGAATCGTCTGTTGAGGGCGAAACGAGTGATTCAGAAATTTATTCATGTTGCAGCAACCTAATTAGATGCAAACAACATCAATCAGCAATGTATTGCCTCGAGATTAAGGGATAAAGCCTGTGTACCAGATCTGGAGCATTTTGCACGCTTGATGATTTTATCAATCGTACTAGGTATTGGAAGACGCTCTACAGAATTCTCACGGCTGCCTCTAGCCACTTCCTCTTGAGGACTAGTATTCCGTGCAGTTTCGCCAGCAGTCAAGTTTTCCCCCCGCTGGTTTTGGTTCACAATGCTCTTCATATCATGTTCGAATGATGATTGTTTTTCGCTAGTGATTTGCCCTCCTCTGTCCGCCTTGTTCTGAAATAACTGACCTGTTAAAAGTTGAATAAGAGTTATGAGGCACCATACGGACAATCAGTTATCCGAAAATTCTTTCCTTTGAAAGGCATTCCTACAAAACCATCCTCATGGTGCAATGAAAAGGCAGCTTCGAAGTAAACACACCGAGACTCGATCTACAACTTTGCAGAAATGGAACAGACTTGTATCCTTTAAATTCGGAACCAAATTCTCTGAAAATGAGTTGATACAGAGTCAGCTAGGAGAAAACACAAAAAAATGAAGAAAAACATAAAACAAAAATCCCAGCACAAACTTGAAATGTCAATATGATCAAAAGCAGAAATTCTTGTTCCGCGAAGTTCCACTCCTGACGTGATATATAGCTCTGCAATGACGACCCGTTACCTTTTCCAGTGAAAGATATGGACGGCGTCGAAAAAGAGACTGGAGATTCACGATCATCGTAATTCTGCTCTATTGAATTTTTTTCGTACTCAAGAAAAGGTGGTGAAATGTTCCTGGAATACACCTCATCCTTCCGTGTGTGACTCTCTGGTTTCATCTTTTCTTTCAGGGTACCTCCTGAATTCAAAACCTTCTCATCCCTGTAGACATGAACAGACGATTCGAAAATACTCGGTGTATGACCTCGAGAATGTGATTCACCGACCGAATGATGATCAAGTGTCGACGCTGTTTTTGGAGATGACTGCTTTAGAGCACCACCATTTCTCAGCTGCCCTATTTTTTCCCTCAGGAGTTCGAGCGACTTCGCAGGTTGCTTCCCACTGAAATAATCAGCAGAGGAGTTCTTCAGCCAATCCTTATCAGAAGATGCGAGATTCGTCTTGCACAAGTTCACGGCAGCAGGACACTGAAAGGAAGCAAAATAACATTATTAATTGGAAGGCTAAGATGAGTAGCACTTAGTCAGGATTGACGATGTAGTTGAGATGCCTCATCACACTAAGTTCGAACACAAGCGTGGAGATAAACGCTCAATAGGCTAGTCATTCATTCTTCCAGTAACTTTCCTCTCTGCTATTCATTGTTGAGAAAAAGCTGAATGTTTTTTATTTTCTTTTTTTAAAAAAAAACACACATTTTAAAATGAAAATGGTCTTCATGGAAGGAGCATATTCCAAGGCAAAGCACGTCAATGATACCTGATTTTGTAACGACGACTCTTTCAAGACGGCGTGTGATCTGTGTTCGCTGGCTGCCAATCCCCGAGTTCGAACTGAGCTTAATCCACTTGATGCCATTTCAGACCTGTGCACTCGGGGAACCATATTTTCCTTCTCCGAGCTTGGGTCACGTCTCGCCATAGCGCTCTCCGGGTAAACCATCCTACATACTTCCGCACTGTCCAATCTCGCTGTGCGTCAGTGTCATCGCGGCGTCACTGGACATTCAAATACGTTTTCAAGGTTGTAAGACATCGGTTCCTACTGGACAATTTCACGATCTTAAGGCTTAGAGAAACAAACACGTGCACTCCACATTGCGAAAAAGTCGTGAAAGACATGACCGTTGGAACCATCTGAGCGTAATCGAGCGAAGTGCCAAGTATCGTACCATCTTCCGACAATTGGGGCAAGTCATCGCTGGAACCTTCAGCAACAGAGGCTCCCCACACACCTGCCATTGTCGACCTCACCTCGGAGGTAACAACGCCGACACTCAACCCCTTACAACCTTACACAACATCAAAGCTTCCAAAAAAATTACCCACTCTCCGCACCTACAATATATATAGTGTCACTAGTTACAAAGTCTAAGCCACCATCACAGCTCTAAGCAACAACCTCTCAAATTCTACAAAAACCCATCACGTCCCTCAACAAAAACCCGGCAAGTAATCGATTCACCGACACATCCTCGCATCCTCAAAGGCACCCACAACCTCCAAAACTGTACAGAAAGCTCAGAATGGTTTCCTACACCAACAAAAAGTTTCAGAGAACACCTGCAACACCAAATGCTAAACCCTAACCAGCTCAAACTACCGCCATTTCCCACCAAGTGAGCTAAGCATGAGCGTAGAATGAGGAAATGGGACTAGAGACGCGGGAGAGTCGATCGCCATGACAACGAGATGAATGCGGTGACCGAAGTGGTCCGAGAACTCTCTGCCGAGCTCAAGCATCATCATCATCGTCGCAAGCGAAAATCTGCGCAGCTTTGGATCAAACGGAACTTGGCAGAATTTCTGACCGTTACAATTTGTATGAGCTCCGCGGGGACCAGGAAAGGGGCTGGCTGGGTCGAGGAACCGCTGCGGTGTGAATAGGTCCCCCACGTTGACGAAGAGGAGGAAATTGCGTGTGGCTTTCGCTCGGGACGACGACGGACGGACAGACGGAACGGGGTCCCAAGCTGCCTGGCCAGTGGCTGGAGTTTGTGGAAAAGTGAACATCAAATCCTAAACCTTACAACACAATTGTGTTGTAAGGTAGCCAACCCATTATCAACCACCTTCCATTTCCAACATATAGGCCTACCTAATTCCATTAGTTCAACAATTAGATCTGATATTTTATTGATCAGAAATAGGTTGGGAAATAGTTAAAATGATGTTATGTGAACAATAAATAAAATTTGTTGTATTTGAAATAGGATTGAATAAACTATCAATAGTTGGCAATTTTTGATTGGATGGGGTAGAATAATAGTATAATTAGGTGCCACACTTCTCTTGATAGCATTAATAGATGCCACACATCATGGTTTTGTAAAGGTTGGATTCTTCATTTTGTAATCCACCACCGGTCAAAATTAGGTGGCCCAACATGTCCAAAATGGGTCAAAGAGAATCTTTAGCTAAAATATTTATATTAATTCTATTTTTAAGCCAAATCATGTAAAAATACTTAAAATCCTCCTTATTTCTATTTCCATACATGGAGGTAATTTTCTATTTTTAAATCTACTAGATATATAGAAATGCTTAAATTATCAAAAATGAGTTGTATACATAATATCCTAATTTTTGAACTCTAAGTTTTAAATCCTCAAACTTAATACTTTAAATCTTATAAGTTTATTACATTGGATTCTCAAAATTACCACATTGGATGTTGAAGTTGCTACATGATGCCAATAACCTTTCTTTTCTCTTCATAAGTTAATGAATCATTAATTGTTTCTTAATTTTCCTTGATTTCTAATATTCTACTATTTTTTAACATTGATTCAATCATTATTGTTAACATGTGTGTGTATGTGGTATTAAATTCAAACTACACTTATATTTTATGCAAGCACATTGGATTCCAATGTTAGTGCCAAAAACATGCTCTATTTAGCCACTTGGAACCAATACAATTGCAAAGAAAAGAAAATAAATAAATAAATAAAAATCAAAAATTAAGATATTAGGACATAAGAGCAAGAAAAATACAAAAATATCACCTTCAACTAAATTGGCAGAGAGGCTGAGTATTGTAGGAAGGTCGCAAAAGTCACTTAAAAGTGGAGTAGGAAGGAAGGTTGCAAAAAGTCACCTATGAATATAAGCTATCCAATTTGGCTAAGTGTTGGAGAGATAGACACTACATTATTTGAAGTCACTTGAGAGTTGGGAGTTGAAAGTAGAAAAGGAGATAATAAATTGTTGAGATAGTGATTTCTATAAACTCTAATGAGCACAAAAAAAATCTAGTTTTTCCTCATTGCTTGGCCCATGGCTAGAGTTTTTAGAGATTTAGAATATTAGTCAAGCTACATGTTTTGGTTTCATATGGAGTTGATTTTTTTTATTACCAAGCTTAGCGTTTGATTTTTCTATTTTTATAATATTAATAGGATTTTTTTATAGTTTTTTTTTAATATATTTTTATTTTTAGATTTTTGAAAAAAAAAAATGTATCAATACAAAGATACTCTAATCCTTTATTATGTGAAGATTAAATTTAATCTTCACAAAAAATATTTAACAAAAATCAAAAAAAAAATGAATACATGCTAATAACTTCAAAAAACCATATAGCTAGTTTTTTGAAAATGTATCTAATTTTAATTCTTTAAATAGTTCTATAAATAGGTATTATAATATTTTACATCACATAAATATTTTTATTCTTTAAAAAATACTTAATCAAAGGACTTTAATATATTTTATCTATTTTAATTTAAATAATGAGAATACAAATAAATATTTCATATTTATTTTTATTCTAAATTTTTATTTAAATATTAAAGAAAAAATTAGATAAATAAATAAATAAAAAGATATTTAGCTTGAATAACTATATTTAATATAAATATATATATATATAAAGATTTGAGTTTCTTTTTATATAGGTTATATAACCACTATACATTTGTAATATAGGAAAGTATTTGAATATTGTAAAAAACATCAAATGACTTTTAAAAGAATAGTTGTATTAAATTCTACTATTCTATGATTGTATAATTTCAAAATCCTCTTTATTGTAAAAAGAGATATTTGTTTGTATCCTTAGACAAAAGACACAACATTAGATTAAATTATAAAATAACTAAATAATTTTCTATTTTTATATTAAGATCATCACTAGTATCATAACCTCAAAAAAATATTTTTTTGATGAAGTAATTTTGGTTCATTTTGTGCCAATATTATTTGCATCCAATGTGTGTGTTTATCTACATCCACCAATTATATTGGTCTATAGCCAAAACTTGTATTTATCTCTATTTTTTGTCAATATATATATATATATATATATATATATATATATATATTATAAAATGTTCATTTTTTTCTTAATATGAGATGTTTTTTATAATTTTTGTTATTCTTTTTTTTTTTTTTTTTTTTTAAATCTTGTATCTTAAACACATCTATTAACCTTTAAAGTTTTAACAAGCAAATGTTTTTAAAAGACAATATATTTTCTTGATGGTAGTGTAACAATAGTAAGTTTGTCTAATAAAACTCTTAGATAAGTGGATTCCTAATGTAAAGTATCTTGCAATGATTCACATATCTTGAATGGCAATCTATTGTTATATTCTAGTTAGTGTACATATTAACAATATTTTTAATTCTAATTTAGTTTCTCAACAAAATTTGTGTTTTAACATTTGAGGATCTATTAGTATTGAAACATAATTCTTTAAAGTTGCACAAATTAAAGGACTATTGAACTAATGTTCTTCTCTATTTGTCTTCTATGCTAAAAACATATTGTATACTCTTGAAACTTTTTAATGAAGGTTTTAAAAACAATTGAAGTAATTGAAAGCATAACAAAAAATTTTACAAAGCTTTGTTTTGCCTCTCAATCTTGCAAATACAAAAAAACCATTTCCTAAGGATACATGTAGATATACTTCATATTTTATTTTATTTTTATTTTATGCCTATATATATATTTCTTCTTTTCAATTTTATACACAATGTTTTGTTTTTTTATTTTTATTTTTATTATTATTATCATTTATACATAGTGTTAAAGAAATATGCTTGTGTAATTTGTGGCTACATTGTATGCATTGTGATTCATTACTTTGTTATAAATTATTGTACATCAATAATTACTTTCAATACATTCCTACCATAACAAAACAAGTGACTTCAATACTAGTATTTTTTTAATAACAATTTTAATGTATTGAAACCAGATACAAATAAAAAAAAATTTAGTAGTTGTAAGAAGTTTTCAATAGAGTGAAATATCAATTGTTTACAAAATAACGATTCATTACTCTTTCTATCAAGATATTTTGACCAATTTATAAAAGTCAAAATGTAATCAAAATCAGATTTTCAAAGACTTTTTTTTTTTTTTTTTTTTTTTTTTTTTTTGTCAAGCTTGAATTTTGATATAATATTAAGTTAAGTTTATTGTTAACCAACAAGTTCTTTTATACAATTAATGTATTGCAACAACGTTGAAAAGAAACATTTATTTTAAATATTTAGCTAATACTTTGATTTAAACGATAATCCTTTCAGAAAGTCTAAAAAATATGTTTTTCTAATCAATTTACAAATAGACTGCAATGTGAATTAAGCAACAAAAAAAAAAAATTTAAAAATTTAAAAAAAATGATAAAATTAAGTAAAAAAGTATTAATTACTTCATGATATAGTCGTCCTTGTTACAGAATAGGGCAAGCATTGGTTCGCCAAAGTAATTCGACACTGCTCAACCAGACAATAGTAACTCATTGCAAACTTAGCTAACGCTTAAAAATGTACTCAATGGATCTAGGGTCTACACTACACTATATTGAATAAATTGAAACATACCCAAGTGAACTTCATGGCCTCAAAGCCTCAGGTTCCAAGGAACGCCTCATAATTGTGTCGATATCCAACAATGTGTTGAGATGAACTGGAGCATGACGACGGTGGTGACGCTGCATATCAAGCCCTTGCTTGAAAAACTTCAAAGTGGCAGCTCAACCACACGAAGTGCAAGCTTAACACTCCAGATGATAGTCTCGGTTAAGTCTAGAAATGTTGATGTCATCTATCTGTGAGAAAAGAATGATGTCAAGAAGCAGGTTATTGTCCCCGAGATTGCCACATTTAAGCTTGGATACTAGGTTGGGAAGCATGGTAACATAATAGAGATTCTGATCGACGCCCTATCCATAAAAAATATAAACGCATCTGGATTAATGCGGGGTGTAGGGTGCGAGGGGGAAAATAATATAAGGGTTCGCTGATTTTCTTGTCTTAACTTGCGTCCAGAAGCAGCTTGTCGATGGGGTTCAAAGGGTCCAGAGTACTAAGTAGTGCCCCCATTGCTCCAGCATGCCCCTCATGACGCAAAAACACGGCCTGCAAAACATTGTGACAAGATTTGAAACCAGCAAGCGAGCCTAGAATGCAACAAGCACGCCTAGTAAACATGAATGTATTGACACGTTGAGAGCAAGGATAGCTCGTAAATGCCCTGTAATATTTTTGACAAAAAAAAAAAAAAAAAAAAAAAAAAGAACAATTTAGAGCCAACAGATCCTACTCATGCACTACCCTGAGAAAAGATGCGTAATAACAATACAGTTATACGTGCAACTTTCATATAAGTCAGTGGAAAACTGATCACCTTGATGTTGCCCTTCGACCAAAATTCCATGGCCACTGCCAGCAGCCGCATTGCAAGCTGAATCACACAATAAAATCAACTTAGCTTATTACTTAGCAATTCGAGGCAACAGCATCACGACACCTTATCTCATCAAATCTGACGATCGTTCCAATGGAAGATTCTGGTGTATAAGAGAACGACCTCATTCTCATGCAAAAAACTGCCAGTAAACATGATCTGGTGAACCCCAGCAGCTCGGGCATGTAGCATGGCAATGGAGCCAATATTATTGGTGACCATAAGTAAAACAGCTTTAGATAGGTGCTGCGGTGTTTGCATTGCTGCTTCCCGCCTTCCAGGCTGCACCAACTACAACCACCAAGCCCCCCTTCACCTGTCAAAGATATGGAAACCTATATATGTTGTGTGTGTGTGTGTGTACAAGTTGTGGAGATACTGAAATAAAGCCCACGTCAAATGAGTCAAGCTCACGCTGAAGTGCAGTAAAATAACAGAAAACCAGCTTCTGTGCAACATTTACTCAAGATAATAATGAAGTACCTTGCCAAAGGAGCTCGCAACCGTTGTTGCAGCTAGCCCCATTTCGGTATAATCACCACCTGGGAGGACCACCCGTATCATGCACTTAAGAGTGAAAAATACTGCTTGCAGTACTCACGATCTTCACAGATGATTATCTTGCTAAATTTTTGCCCTCATACAACTGGTTCAAGTTTCTCTCAAATAATGTCATAACCCTGGTTTTTTTCACATATCACAATTGAAGAGATAGAAAAATCTTTTCAATAAGAAGTTTCGCAAACAGATGGACGCTATTACAACACTTGAATTACCATAAATGTCTCCAACCAGCATATCAATCTGAGTGGAGTCTCCCTCCCTTGCTAAATTGATTGCCTCCTCAAAACTGCATTACTCACCTCAACATCAAGATACACTCAAAAAGCACCATGTAGCACTTTCGTTGATAGGAATATGAAACTTCAAAAGCATGTTCTATTCTTTACTTTGATGTGAATACAAATCTAGCCAAAAACCCCACATGATTTTTGCGTTTTTGATAAGGAAGCTAAAAGAAGACTTACGTTGTGCAATTAGTAAGGGCCGAGGTCAATCCAAGAAATGTGCTGTAGAATACATGCCCAACGAGTCATATTAGAACCATCACTAGAGAGGTAACTGAGTATCGAATGGAACTAACTGGAGACAAGTTACAATTTAGTACACAATGCACAAACATTCCACATGACTGATGACAATTAAGAAAAGCGTTTCAAAACAACAGTGTTTACAAACTCCAGTTTATCAACAAGAAACATAACAAAAGTTCCTAATTTAAACGTCGTTTCCTATCTATAAAGAGTGGTTAAAGGAGGGAGTATAACCTTCCCCCAAGACTGGTTCCTCCAACACGTTCGAATCTTTCAGCAGCGTCGACTCGTAATATGCTTACGCCTGAACCAATATTCACCTGAAATCGACCGAAAAAAGTTGTTGGCTAATGGTAAGCAAACCGTCAATAAATAAGAAAAACAAGTGAGTCTACATTGCAGAGCGAAGTACAAGGAGGAAGATGTAAGTGCGCTTTCCCCTAGAAGAAGAACCACTATACTGGCTTCACATAGGTCTGACAAGTACACTTCTATTAAAAACATGGACGATGATGGTGTGTTTCAGATTGGAGTCTTGAACTCCTGAGAAGAAAAGAATTTTCCACGAAACTTTGGCACAGCTGATAAAAACCTTAAGGAGAATTTCAAACTTAATTATCTGGAAAATTTAAGCTTAAAATTAAAGTGTGGAATAGTATGCTATAAAATACATTTATTATGCTTATTAAATCGTCAGATGATAGGTTAATATCTTTGAAAAATTTCTCTTGTGACCGTTGCGAGCTACAGACGCCTTCTAAGATCCAAGTTTAAATATAGATAAAAAGTTACGAATCAAATACCACGAGATATGGATACAAATCTTGAGGTCCACCCAATCGTTCAATATCCGAAGTTGCAAGGACTGGGCCTTTCACGACGCGCCTTAGTGCTTCCGTTCCATTCATATCTTCGTTTGATTTTGAACGGTCCTGAGAACTTGTTGAACTGGAGGCTCTTCTCTCTGCTTGTAGCTCATATTCATCATCACTGATCTCCTTCAGCGGTCTTTGTATAGCGCCTCCTCGGAATGAACCCGCGGGATATTCAAAACTCTCTTGATGCGCATGCCTTGCCAAAAAATCAATACCTCGCACCAGACTTTACAAGCCTACTGTTAATATTGATAGATGACATGAGAATCAAAAACAGATGCAGTGAAACCTATCAAGACGAAGTCCGAATTCCTAAATCATGCCTAGCACACAATGCTAAGTTTCTGGATGCAAATTAAAGAGAGCTGTGAACCGGACTGTTAGTTTACGTTGAAACTATCCAATCAGTTTAGTGAATACAGAATAAAGTATCCCGAATGCAATCAGCCATTCTAATTATTAGGCAGTTGACCTGGGGATGAAGTGTAACGTACGAGTAAAGTTCATCGGCACGCTCCAGCTGGAGCCCAGCTATCTGTTCAAAATGATCTTTAAATTTTCTTGCCCCACCTCTATCCATTCACAATCACAACAATCATTATAAATAGTAAATACAGACAAGTAAGGTTATGTATTTCGCGCGTCAAACTTCAGCAAAGCGGAAGATCTACATCATTATAAAAACGAAAACAATCAAACCCTATACGCGCTCGACGTCTACATGTTCGTATCCAAAGCCTCACTTGGGTTTACACTTAACTTGTCAGATCCATCCAAAAGATGCCCGAACTCATTGACAAGAGAATGAGACGAAAAACCGGGGAAAAAAAATTAAAAATTAAAACACACACACACACACAAATAAATTAGTTACATTCTACGTAAATTGATAGTGAATTACTAGCACACACCCAGTGGCACCAAGAGCACGCCCTTTTTTAACCAAGGAATGTTCCTTAGTGAGCGCCAGAAATTCCTCCATTTTCCAGGTTTCTGAAACAGCCACAAAAGTCTTACTAAACGAAACATGCTACGTTGATGATGAGATACAATAACCATGTGTATCCACAGCATTCTATCATATCCTTCGTCTTGCGTTCGTACACGAGAGATATGTTCAGGGCCCATGTGCACTACAAGAATTAGACTAAAGAATCCGTTGAAATGATCAACTCGTTATTTACGTGCATATACCGAGCAGCCCTATAGATGGTGGTATTAAATTGGGATTGGAAGCCATTCTGTACGACGAAAACAAAGACGGCACAAGCAAGCAAACAGGTTGAAATCTGAGACACACCGAAACACTTGAAATACAGTGTGCCTCGTCCTGGAATGTGAACAGGATCGTGGCTGGAGTTCCACATCTTGCGATCTAGCTGTCTGCTGTGCTCCCTCTTGCTTCTTTCTCCACCCTTGTTGACGCCCTTGGGCGTTGGCTTGCTACTTTTAAACATGGAAAAATCCTTCTTCCCGTCAGACCATATTTCATTTTCATGCGAACCGTTAGAATTAGACGCGTCGTCAGGCTCGACAGACGGTGCCACCACATTGTCATCCTCAAAACTTTCTCGAGAAAACCTACTCTTGGGCGTCTCTGAAGGAGCTGGTGCTTGAATTTCGGCAGTAATAATTGGCTCAAAAAACACCACTTTGCATAGAGTGCCCCCAATGTCGAGACCAAACCTGGCCAGAGATGATGCCCCTTCTAGAAAGCTAGAGTCCACAGGAGAAACCAGACTGTCCGGTGGTGGGGTCATGTGAAGGGGTAAGGAGTCCCCGAGGCTGTTTGGTACAACCAATGCTGCTGGCACTCGAGCTTTCCACGATGTCATCTTGAATGATCCTGTAACAGTCCAGAGAACTAAGATGCCAGGACATACGTTACATGAAAAACCTAACGATGAAGTCTCATTACTCCTAGTCTTCTCCAATTGTCTACAAAAAGAGCAATAGACACCCGATAATAACGAAATTAATTAAGTCCTCAATACTAGACATCTTCACATCGCTGGGTGATTGAACTAGATAAGTTCAACAGCCACATGTGTTAACATCTTGAACAATGTGCCCAATGGGAAAAAATTGTACTGCAACCGCACACAGAACACATGTACTGTGCGCATGAATTCCGTTGCGGGCTTTTTGCGACTCGTAATTTCCTCGTCGCCTGGACACTCCCTTTGAAGAAGACAGATTATGATAACGCGAAGAATTAAGAGCAGATCAACCGAACCTGCAAGTGAAAGGACCTGAAGGAATTCTTCGTTCCAGTCAGAAAACGAGGCTCACATTCCCGAACTCGTTGTTCATGTACTTGCTACGGCTGAAAATGCTGCATTCAGAAGGTGTCAGCCCGTTAGCAAGGAGAGAAGGCACTTGTACCCTCGATTAAATTGCATTCATGCTCACCATCCCAATTTCAACCAAATCATAACACCACCCCCCTCCCCCCTCCTCCTCCGCCCACTAACATTATTGAAGAGGGAATGAGTGTATCGAGAATACGAGTATAGCAGAGACACTAACCCACACTAAAAAACCTAATTCTAAAGCACCAACTCCCACCAAACAACCGTCACACAACAAGAGAAATATACATCTTAAGCGAAACCCCGAGCTCATTCAATCCCGCAGACCTCGAATCCGTTCAAAACCCAATTCTCTCCGTCTCTTTCGACTGCTAGCCTCTCCCACGACACTCCCACGAATCAACAACAGTCCGATTAGACAAAAGACGACGATCCACAGCGCACCCAAAATCCTCACACCTGGGGGGGCACCCGAACCTGCACACAACAACTTGCTTGCTTGCTTGCTTCTGAGCATCCCCCCCATAAAAAGCGAACGAGGAGTTGCAAACACGGGCAAGGCAGAAAAACAAAACTGGATCCACAAGCAGAGTGTGAGAAAGCTGACCAGAGACGAGCGAGACGAGAGAGAGAGAGAGACGAGAATCTCCCCTTCGCCATGGCCACAACGACGACGACGAAGAAGTCAGAAGAAGAAGAAGCTCCTCCTTCCTTCCTGCTTCCGCAGCTAGCGCGCTTTCCCACGCCCCTCCCGCCTTTCTTTGACTTTCCCGCCCTCGTTGACTTCCTCCTCCCAATCCCCGCGCTCTGACGTGGCCCTGAGCTCACGGCACGTCATCGACGCGGGGTCGAACCCCGACCAGGGGGGCCACTCCGTGTAGTATTACTGTAGTTGTTGGTTTTGTAGGGGAATCAGTTTTCTGTGGATTCTCTGGATACATTAAGTTGGTGTACAATATGTGCATCTACTCTTTCTTCCAAAGAATAGAATGAGATTGAAGCGAGACGAGACGAGATTGAAGGGAATGTTGTTATAAATAGAGATTGAGATCAAAACTAAAGTCAAGTGTATGGTCAAGCTCAATGAGGAGACATGAGTAAAAAATGGCGGCAACGTGACAAGTCTTTAGGTTTTAGAGAAGACGATAAGAGATTACAACTTTTTAAAGTTGTGATTGGTTGACATCAAAAAGCTTTCCTTAGTTGACTTTGTACCTTGGAAAATGAGCCAAGGGCCATGAGAAGGAAAAATAAATACGTGGTTTTCTAATATAACATTGTAATGAGGTGGTTTTTACAACACCAAAAATAAATAAATAAATAAATAAATAAGTGTTAAAATTAAAAAGAATATCTTACAAAGTTTAAAATAATCAATTAAAAATATGTTTTTTTACAAATAGCTATCAATAAATATCAATAAAAATTATAGTTATAGTTGTTTATATCTAATTATATCTCTCTTTTTTTTACGTTTTTTAATTATGATTTCATTTTTTTGCATAAAAAATATATAATTAATAATTAAATTATTTATATTAAATTATTTATATTTTTTTGCTTTTTGTATCTTAGAATTTACACTACTTTATTTCTTTCTACAACTTATATAAAATTAATTAACACAAAATTGTTAGCTGGTATGCCAATGTTAAATTCAAATTACAATGTAAACAATAGTATCACAAGTTAATATACGAAAAAAAAATATATATATATATATATATATATATATATACTTACAAGAATAGTGTTATAAAGAAATTATTTCGGTTAGTAAGGTGATTAAAAATTATATTACATTATGTTATATTTACATAAAAAGAAAAATAAAAATTTAATTCTTTTCCCAAATAAAAGCAAAATCAAGGCAACTGGTCAATAGAAAATTAGAAAATTGCATCATATTTTTATAGAAGAGCCTTTGGAACCAACTTTATGAGACAATTGGTGGATGGTAAAGGCACAAAGCTTTTTAAAAAGTCTCCTGCTTGTACAAAATGAATAATATTCTTATTATTTATACATGTTATATTTTAAAACATTACAAATGATATAATATTTTTAAATATTTAATGAGAGTTTTACAATATTTCTTAAATGATTGTCAAAAAGTGCAATGTATGAATATTGTGGAACATACCACAATATAATAAATGGAGGTCAAACATTCGAGTATAATTATTTCTTGTAATGATTTATATGTTTATTAAAAAAAATACTATTATAAGCTCAATATAATTTAAAATCATATATAAATACATTTACTACAAACTTAAAATAAAAGAGTGTATACTTAATTATAAATTATATATATATATATATATATATATATATATAGACATAGGGTGTTGCTAATTCCACCATAGTTTTGGCTACTACCACCACAATTTATTCTTATTAATATTTAAACTATTAATAGAAATATTAAAATACTTTTTTATTGGAATAATAAAATAAAAAACTATTGAAAATTGTGATGAGGGTAGCAATAGTAGTGAAAATTGTGGTGACATTAGCAATAACAAATATATATATATATATATATATATATATATATATATATATATATGTATACATGGATGTAATCAATATATTATTTATTATATTTTTTAATAAAAAATTATAGGTTATACTAATAAAATATTTGTAAAATATTTAATAGTATAAATATATTTATTATTAAAATTATATATTTATAATATGGTATTATTATCAATACTACTATTAAGTTATAATTTATTATTTAAACTAATAAAAATATTATAAGTAACATAATTTTGATTAGTTGTTTTATCATTCAAATATAAAGTTGCAATTTATGTAGCCAATAGTTGTTCTTGTGAGTAAAAGTCGGCAAGCAAGAAGCTCATTGATCCAATTGGTCTTGATAAAAGGATTATGGTTATTTATCTTAGCATGAAGAGAATGTAAGAAATGTTCTGCTTCCTCAATGAAAATTTCATTTTTGGCCTCACACAAATTAAAGATTTTTATCACAACTTTATAAAAATAAGAAATAATATGAATATATATAAATTAAATATGTATTTATATATAAATACCAAAATTAAATATATATTTATATTTATTTATATATATATATATATATATATATATATATATATATATATTTACATACATAGTTATTTTAAGTATACATTTAGATTTACTACAAACACCAAAAACAAGTATAATAAAACCCTCAAAAGGTTTTAAAAGCTATATAAATATTAAATTAAAAAATATAACATCTTACATATATATATATATATATATATATATATATATATATATATATATAATTACATTATATTCATGACAAGAAAAACATATTTATGAGTTTGAATACGTAAAACTCAGTGCTTAAGATGGTATTGAAATACGTGTTTATATAATTTCATGCCTAAGATTCTCTTGTTACATTGTAAAGTGAATGGATACGTACAAAATATATAAATAAAACCATATATTGTAGATATATTATTACAATTTTAAATGCCAAATACTCTATTGTTTCTCAATTTTATTTTGTTTTTATTACCATCCTTGGCTTTAAACTAGAGCTTTTCACGCGTAATAAATTGTGCTTATTGTTTTCTTTTTTTCAGTTCAGTCTTAACATTACAATTATGCAGAAAGAATTCTAGCAAAAATGAACTTATACACAGTCTACCCAAAAAATTCGACAGAATGTAAGATCAAGTTTAGACTAAATATGAATAATAAAATTAAAAGAAAGAAAGAAAGAAAAATTAACAATATATATAAGCAAAATTAGAGGTATAGATATAAAATCCTCTGTCATTTCATGAATTCTGTGCCACTTCTTATACTGTTTAAAAAGAAGCGAAAGCAAATATTCCTGTGTAATAAAGACAATCTCAGTAGCTCATGCAGATACTATAAGGAAACAACAACAGTGGGATTTAATAATTTTTGAGATAGATTCTTGTACTCAAATCCAAATCCCTCAAACACTTACACTCATTTATATATATATATATATATATGTATTCTAAAAGAAACCACCAAAAAGTTGGTTGTTTATGTGAGAATAATAGCAATAATACGTGTCATTCCATTAAACATTAAAAATAATATTAATAATAATACGTGTCATTCCATTAAACATTGAACATTTTTTACATGAAACATTAAGGCATTGTTGCATGGTAATTATTTCTTAAAACTCAGTAATAAACACTACATACATCAATAACAATGTCAAATTATTACATTTTTCTTTTTTGAATTGAAATAAAAATAAAAAAATGTTATACATGTAAATTTTCTCAATTTTTTTAAACAAAGATACTAAATAATCCATAAAAACTATTTGAATTACAAGCAATCTTGTAAAATATTTCACTAAATAAAGTTAATGATTTGTATTCAAACGAGTATTGTATATACACCAAATTAACCTCAGAATTGACATTGCATTAAATATTTGAGAAACTTTATTAACAAAAAGACACATCTTCTCTTAAAACTAAACAACTTACCTACCCATTTAATTTATCTGTCACGGACACAGAAATACAAACTCGAGATCTAATAAGAAGTTCAGGAAGAACTGGCAAGAACTAGATTAATCAGATGAGAACAACACCAGAGAGGTGAGCTAGAGCTCCAAGAGATGTGTTGTCGAGACTGAAGAACTCTTCAGCCTCGATTCCAATATATACTTCTATTTAGGAAGCTTCTCAAGCAACTTCTACCAACTATGAAGCTTCTAAAAGGTTCCAGAGACTTACTTCTAGAAGGTTCTAGAAACTTATTTCTAGAAAGTTCTAAGGACTATGTCTCTAATATCTTCTACCAACTAAGAAGCTTCTAGAAGGTTTCAGAGACTTGCTTCTAGAAGGTTCTAGAAACTTGTCTCTAGGAGGTTCTAAGGATTATGTCCCTAACATAACCCCCTCCTTTAGCTTTGAGGTCTCTTAGAAGCAATGTTGTTGATCAGTACCAACGCAAGAAAATGAAGATCTGTCGCATAACGTCTGCTATGAACTCCAACTGTTGTTCACGAGGCAAGTGGTTCATTGGTCCTTGAAGCCAATGGTAGTGACCCACTCCTTCAACTTCTGACCAAGCATGAACTTCCGTGTCCTCATTGTGAAATTGTCCTGCAAACACGCCTTCAGGCTGACCATCGTAAATACTCGGACTCAAATACAATCACCAGTGATTGGTTACTCGGTATCCTCAGTCGTCATCGTGGTGTAGGCGGTTCTTCATCTCGGGGTCACCTTCGTGACTTAGTGGGTTGAGATAATCTGACTCGCATAGTATCTATCTCTTGGCTATCCATATCAGAAGACCAAACTATGGCTACTCAAAAACTTCTATTTTATCTTGGAGAAAATAACTACATCAACTACGAATTTTGGTGGTGCTCTCCCCCTTTCTTATATTCTTGGGTGAGCAAGCTTCAGAAAGAAGCTATCGTCAAACCGGCTTAGGTTTATGAGGATGTTGTTGATGAAACTCCTGTACCTTTTGTGGCGCATTTGCGAGATTTTCAGCTGGCTCCCACGTTCGCTCATTAATGTCGTAGCCGCACCAATGAACAAGATACTCCAACTTGCCCCACCT